GTCCGTTCCAGGGAGCTAGACGCTGAATGCAATTCTGATTTCAGTCTACACTTGAAGTACAGAGATAAGAAGCTAAAGCACTGGGTGTACTGAAACTTAGGACTTAATAAGCCCTGCCTTGACATTCTCTTCCAAATGACATAACCGTTTTGGCTTTGCTAATCCGTTCGGTGGAGGTTTCATCAACAGATCGTCTGTGACACATGACTGCTGCTCCTCATTACTTATCACCGCTGCTGACAATGGCACACTGAAGGTGTGCAGACCTTTTCTGAACTGCCTGAGAAAAGTGCCACGTTCCAATTCTCTGGTGATTTACAGTGGGTTGGGGGGGGAGATGCAATGTCCATCTGTTAAAGCTCATGCAACCATTGTGTGGAACAGCACTCATGTACCCTCAGACCTAACGTTGAAACGTCTTGGAGCTGAAACATGTTGTGACTGTTTTATCTGCAGTCAAACGTGGCAGCCCTTTGACAAACGGTCACTAATAATAATAATACTTGCATTTGATATAGTGCCTTATTATGTTGTTGAGACATCTGAAAGCCTTCACAGGATATTCTGTCACCAACAACAACAACAACAGCAAAATTACATTTATAGAGCAAGTGTATATTTTGTGGAGGAACACTAGGAGCAGGGATTCTTCCCACTCAGCTCCTGTGAACCCTACAAGCCAAAGCCCTAACTTTTGGGTGGTCCTTGCTGGACAAGCAGCAGGAAACTTGTCAGTGCTTTTATAGCAAACCAAGCAATTGTTTTGTTAAACTTCAGCAGTTACCCCAATGCACACTCTAGGGTCCTCAAGGCTTGGCTCTTGCCAACCTCCACTTAACTCCATCCCTCCCTCCCTTGCCTCCCTCAAGACCGTCTCAAGACCCTCTTCTTCAACTGTGCCTTTAATCACCCCTCTGCCCTCCACCCTCCCCGATCCCGACACCCAGCTTGGATCCGAAACACTGATTGTCCAGTGCATTGGGACGTCCTCCCAACGTGAAAGGCACTAAACACATATAATTTTGTTGTTGTTGTTAACACTCTCTGGAATTTAGGTAAGCAAGATGCTTTCCTCCAGGGATGGATTGCGCATTTCATTCAAGACCCAGAGAAATTTCCATACAAATTATTCAAGTTTCTTTTTACCTCTTAGTCTGGTAGGTTGGTAGAATCTGTCAATTCTAAACAGCTGGCATTCATAATTTTAGGATGTATATTTTTAAAAGTCAGCAGAAATATATTTTCCTTCCTCTTTCCCTCCCTCTCCCCTCACTTACTCACTCACTCATTTTACTCACTCGCTCACTCACTCACTCACTCACTCACTCACTCACTCACTCACTCACTCACTCACTCACTCACTCACTCACTCACTCACTCACTCAGTTACTCCCTAATTCACTGTCTCTGGGCTCAGATCACAAGGTTCAGATTTTCAGATAAAGAAGTCCCTTCGCTACACTAAGTCCTTCGCTTTGCTGTCATTTTACTAGAACAATTGTTTGACATGTTTTGCATCCACTGCTGTGGCCTGAGGAAAGTGTCCCCCTCAGAGAAGCTATCAAAGCGCTCCTGGTAACCTCAGTGTCCTCTGAGAGAGAATGAAAATAGGATAATACAGTCAGGGACAATTCTTTCATGATCATTTGATGTTCCAGAGAATAGTGAGGGTGTCACTGTTTAAATATGGTAAATGTGAACAGAGATCCCAGGCGTAGCTGGTCCCTTTGTTATCGTTTCCCTATCTCTGTTTAGCATGGAGTGGGGGAGGGAAATAACACAAGGCTGACCTTTGTGTCTTCAAATTATCAAATGATAAAGAGATAATAATAATCCTTGCATTTGATATAGCACCTTATCGTGTCTTCGGGACGTCTCAAAGCGCTTCACAGAATATACTGTATATTCTGTGAACGAAACGCGGCAGTCAATTGCTCACAACAGTGTCCCATAAACAGTCGTGGATTAAGTGACCAATTTATGATTGTTATCTTTTTTTTATTGTTTATTTATTTATATATTTATCCATTCATTCATTCATTCATTCATTTGGAGTCCTGTAGCTCAGTGGTTAGAGCACTCGCTTTGCAAGCAAGAGACCTGAGTTCAATTCCAGGCACAGGGCGAAACCTTGGGCAAGTTTCCTTACTCCACACACCTAATAATAATCCCTCCAAAACCAAAAACAATAATAAAATTGGTCTACGACTGTGGGACATTGCTGTGCGCAATTGGCTGCCGCGTTCACCCACAAATATACAGTCAATTTACTTTACAGTGTGTTCTGTGAAGCGCTTTGGGACGTCCTCCCGACGTGAAAAGCGCTATATCAAATGCAAGGATTATTATTATTATTATTCATTCTGAGGTCTGAATGGATGAGGATAGGAGGGGTTTGGTTTTACTGGGTTGCAGAATATAGCAAAACTAGGAATAATAATAATCATCATCATCCTTACATTTGGTACAGTGCCTTCCAGGGAAGATTGTCTCAAACAGGGAGGGCTGTCTCAAAGCTCCTCATAGCAAGGTATACTGTAAAGTCCAGCGACTGCGTATTGTGGTTAAACACGCCAGCCTACCTGCGCACAGCAATATCCCGATAAACATCCAAACAGGGATAACAACAACAAAATTACATTTATATAGCGCCTTTCACGAAGCTGGGCAGACAGAGTTACGGACCCGAGCTGAGGGTCGGGATGGGGGAGGGTGGAGGGCAGATGGGAAAGCAGGAAGATCGAAAGCAAGGTCGAAGAGGAGGGGCTTCAGGTGGTCTTGAAGGTGGCAAGGGAGGGGGCGAGGCGGAGGGATTGCGGGATGGAGTTTCAAAGGGTGGGTGCAAAGTGGCGGAAGGCCCAGCCGCCAATAGTGGGACGAGCAAGGCAGGGGACGTGAAGCAGGCCAGAGGCCGCTGAGCCGAGGGAGCGAACAGGGTGGTAGGGAGTTAGGAGATTGGAGTGGTAGTGGGGAACAAGACCACGCAGGGCTTTGAAGGTGATGACCAGGATCTTGAACTGTATCCTCTGTGAGTTGGGCAAGGATGGGGTTGATAGGGTCACAGAGCCTAGTGCAGGAGAGGACACGGGCTCAGATTTCTTAATGATTTGCAGCCTGTGGAGGGAAGAGTTGGGGAGGCCGACAAGCAGTGAGTTTGCGTGGTCAAACCTCGATGCGATGAAGGCATGTATAAGGGTTTCGGCCCTGTGGTGTGAGACAGTGGTGGAGCCGGGCAATGTTGTGGAGGTGGGGGAAGGCAGAGCGGGTCATGGTGCAGATGTAGGGTACAAAGGATAGTTGAGGGTCAAACAAGACCCCAAGGTTCCGGACTGGCTTATAGCAAGGTGGAGTATGCAACCATGGATGGTGATGCTGTCAGCTCCTGAGGTGAGAACGCGCTGACGGGAGCTAATCAGGAAGAACTCAGTCTTGTTGACTTTCAACTGAAGAAAGTTAGCTCTCATCCAGGACTTGATGTCTGACAAACATTCTGTCAGGACAGCAGTGGTCCTCGAGTCAAGTGTGGAGGCAGAGAGGTAGAGTTGGGTGTCATCCGCATACATGTGGAAGTTGACCTCATGTCTGCGGGTGATGTCACCAAGAGGGGGCATATAGATATTGAAGAGGAGGGGAACAAGGACAGAGCCCTGAGGAACGCCACACAAGATGGTCCGGGTGCTAGAGGAGAAGCCGTTTGAGGAGATGTATAGTGAACACTTATATGTGCACTTATATAGTGCCCTCCATGCAGGTAGAGTCTCAGAGTGCTTAAATCCGTGAGATATCTGTGTGAAGGAAAAACACTGGGAAATGAAGTTCCGAGATGAAAGCTATTGTTTTTCTCTGACTGAAAGTTGCAGTTGAAGAGGCCTCTGGCTGTCATTGGAGCTGTGCCAGGAATCACCGCAGTACCTTTTACACATCAAGTGATAGAAAGTGATTAGAAATTAAAGGAGCAGACCGTTCAGTGTAAAACAAATGCAGCAGAAGAATAAAGCGCATATTTATAGGACTTATCACGTTGAAACAGCTTGGAAGCACAATAATTCTTGTCAAGCCTAGCATAGGCAAACGCAGCAGCCATTTTGCACCCAGCAAGTTCCCATAAACACAGAAGGGAATAATAATAATCATTACATTTGATATCATGCCTTATCATGTCGTTGAGACAGCTCAAAGCGCTTCACAGGATAATAATAATAATCATTGCATTTGATATTGCGCCTTATCACGTTTTCAAAATGTTTCAAAGCACTTCACAGAATATACTGTAAAGTGAATTGACTTTATACTTGTGGGTGAAACGCGGCAGCCAAATGTGCACAGCAGTGTCCCACAAATAGTCGTGGATTGAAGTGACCAATTTATTATTATTATTTTTTGAAGGAATTATTACCCCCGGAAAAGCAATCTGCCAAACAACCGGATTCCTACTTACTGCTAGGTAAACAGAAGTGTGTGAAGTAAGGAAACTTGCCCAACATTTCAACCTGCCAGGAATCAAACCCAGGTCACTTGCGAGGCGAATGCTATAACCACTGAGCTACAGGACTCTACAGGATCCTCTGTAAAGTAGTGTGACCATATGTATTTTGTGGGAGAACAAAGCAGATACCATATGCTAATAGATGTCCCACAACAGCCATGTAGTGAGTGACTAATTGTATCTGGGTGATTGTTAGCCTGGACACCAGGAGAAACTCCCTTTTTGTTTTGAATAGTGCTATGAGATCTTTATCTTCCACCGGGACAGGCAGATGAGGCCTTGACAAAGTCTGAACGGAAGGACTGTAACCTCTGATTGTAACCTTTGTATCCTTCCCCTCTCGTCTCCCCCCTACCCCTACACCACCACCCCTCCACCACCACCAACTTGTAAAGCCCTTTGAGACGTCCTCCCGAAGTGAAAGGCACTGTATCGATGTAAATCATATGGTGTTTGTAAGAGAGTAAAGTCTGTCCAGACTATGACTCGTGTTCTGCCCCCCCTTCTCTCTCAGCGCCTACCAGGTCATCGTAGAGGAAGAGCGGCAACGCAGATTCAAGAAAATGTCTGATGCCACCTGCTACCAGGTCCCCATTACCTACCAGAACGCCTCCAGTGGAAACTTCCCTCATTACTTTGCGGCAGAGTTTCCCCCGAGCGCTCTTCAGGAATCCCACCCTTTCACCGTGGGCGACAACAAGACCTACAGAGGCTACTGGAACGCTCCACTCCTCCCTCACAAGAGCTACAGCATCTACTTCCAGGCTGTGAGCCGAGCAAACGGGGTAAGTGTGGCTCCCATTTGCACTGCCTGCTTTTATTGCTTCAGAGGCCTGAAATCCCTTTGTGGGACGACTGAGCCTCAAGGCTACTGCGTTACAAAGGATTTATGAATGTGCAGGATATTTTTTTGAAAAATGTTTTGAACTCTGTCTCAAATTTCATAGCTCAAAAGTAAAAGAAGCCCCACGGCAACATTCAAAATTCGCAGAGTGAAAGATTGTGCATAAACTTGGAGGAATGATGATGTTAGTTGGAAGCCAGTGTCATGAAGTTTGTCATGTGTTACCACTGAGTTACATGTTATTCCATGTTAGGTGAGTCCTGTAGTGTATTGGTTGGAGCACTCACCTCGCAAGTGAAAGACCTGGGTTCGATTCCCAGGCAAGGCGAAACGTTACGCAAATTTCCTCGGTCCACACGGCTCTATTTACCTAGCAGTAAGTAGAAACACAGTTGCTAGTCGATTGGGGGATCACTTTACAGTATATTCTGTGAAGCTCTTCGCGACATCTCAACGATGTGATAAGGCGCTATATCAAATGCAAGAATTATTATTATTATTCCCTCCCCTACTCCTCCGTCCCACCATCTGTCATTAAATCCAGTTGCAGAAACCCGCCTTTTCGACCATGCCTACGGTCACCTCCCCCTCGCTCCCCCTTTCTCCCTTGCTCAGTGTCCGACCCCTGTCTTTGTGAAGTGCTTCTGAGACTTGAAACACAGGACCCGACGTGAAAAGCGCTATACAAATGTAATCTTGTTGTTGTTGATAATCCTATACGAAGTGTGTATGTTGTTGTTGTAAATCCAAGTTGTTGTTGACTTAACACAACATTCCCCACGTCAGCTGCCAATCACCGTGCAGTTGAAAATAAAAACCTTTCGAGGAAATATCCTGCTTCACATTAAGTGCAGACTTTTCCTCTTTTCTCCCTTTATCAGTAAAGTAAATATACCTTCAGAAGTAGTGCAAACTTGAAAGTAATTGCCTGTCAGGAATTAGGAGATCGAAAGAGACTCAGAAGGGAAGCAATGTTCTTTTTGATGTGGTTTGTGTGTATGTCTCTCTCTCTCGCTTTGTCTAAATCCTCCAGAGTTCCTACCTTTAGGAGCTGATTAAATTACCCATTTTAATAATCCTGGTGGTAAGGTTAATTCACATTTATAATTTGCAGTTCTTGTGGGTGGGTTTTGTTTTAAACACCTTCCGATAACACTGATCTGCCTCGCTGCTCTTTCCCCTCAGTACCTGCTGTGCTCAGTGCCGGGTTGGGAAACGTTGCCAACTTTGCCTGCAGCAGATCAGCGGAATGACAGGAGCTTGTTTCGGCAAGGCCTTTTGTCGTTGTTGTTGGGAACATGAGGAGGCCAACAACATCAACAGACTGTTCCCCGCTGTTTAATTAGATGGTGTTAAAATATTTCAGACCCTGCCTTTTCCCATGTTAACCGGCAGCAGGTGTTAAACTTGTTCTCTTCTCAAAAAGAAGTAAGCTGGTAAGTGCTAGGTGATCTCCACTACTGACAACTTAATAAAAACGCAATGCTCTTGAGGGTTGCAGAATCGATTGGCTTATCCCACATTCCTCAGCCCAATTCCCACCAGATCCCGCTGCCACAGTTGTGAGGTGAAAGGCTAATTGTATCTTGAGGTTTGTCGGCCGGGAACTCCCTTCTCTTTTCAAATAGATTCATGGGCTCTATAGCCCATGGGGTCAGGCAGATGTCCAGTGACCCCCTGGTTTAACGTCGCAACCAAAGGACGGCATCTCTGACACAGGATTTTAACCCAAAATCTTCAGTTCCAGAGGCAGACGGACAGGCCACCAACTAAACTAGGCTGGCACTGGGAGACCACAGTCACTAAATTACCCATTGTAATAATCTCTTGGGGAGTCCTGTAGAGTTTTAGTTAGAGTGCACCCCTCGCAAGTAAGAGGATCCGGGTTCGATTCCTGGGCAGAGCAAAACATTAGGCAAGTCTTCTTATTCCAATAGCCTCTTGTTTACTTAGCAGTATGTAGGAACCCGGTTGTTAATCAATCGGCGGATTGCTTTCCGTGGGTAATAATCCCTCCCAAAATAAATTGGGTCACTTAATCCATAACTGTCTGGAGGACACTGCTGTGCGCAATTGGCTGCCGTGCTTCGCCCACACAATGCACAGTCAATCCACTTTACAGTATATTCTGTGAAGCATTTTGAGACATCTCTAATCATGTGATAAGGCGCTATATCAATTGCAATAATTTTTACTTATTATTATTATTAAACCAGTCGGAGGTGCCGCACTCAATCCCCAACGACTCTCCTGTGAGTCTGTGAGTATCCCGCACAGACAGATGATAGACTGAGCAACAGAGGTTCAGTGACAGGCTGCAGATGTTCCTGCCAGCTACCCTTTTTACACTGCATTGACAATGCCAAACCCCAGAGCAGCATTGATTTTATTTTAAATTGTCAGATATGATGTTGAAGTCTTTCCTCCACAGCGCTCACTGTCAGCAAGTCGCTGCTCGAGACGGCTGTTCACTGCCTTGCTCAATTAATCTCTTTGGCTGTACAGATAAATGTTAACTGAAGTATTTATCTGAAATGCCAAGTGCATTTCATTTCCAATTGTCAAAAGCCAAGTGAGATGCGCCAGGTCCCTGTTTGTGGGGACATGTGTTTCCACTCCTCTTATGAGTCAATCTTTACGGTGGAGTTTAAATAAAATTGGCAATGATGTTACGTTTGTTTTTGCTCCGGGACCAGAAATGACATTCATTTTTGTTTCTTTCCTCTTAACACAGGAGACCAAAATTGACTGCGTCCGGGTGGCCACCAAAGGTACGGCTGATTTCTGCCCTCTTCCCTCACTGCCTCGTAATGCTGTCATGAGTGACCAACCCCTTTGTCTGTGTCAAATCAAGTCAGATCCATCTCATCCAGGGGGTGGTTAGAAAGGTTTGCTCTGTCATGCCACAAGCTGTGCCCAGACTCGATCGAAGTGCGTGAGCAAAATCAGTCGCATTTGCCCTGTACTCGGCAGCTACCCCACTCCGCTCACTAGGGCTTTGTGATGGTCACCCGTGTCTAGGGCAAGACTCACTAATGCTTTCTTTGGTCAGGCGGGTGTCTGACACATTCGGAAACCCGTCACCATGATTAAGAGTATTGAAACCAGACTGAGAGTTCCACATATATCTGTGTCGCCTACACGTAGAAATTTCCCTGAAATGCGCATGTATGTACCCTACTCACTTAATTCAGGAGAATGTAAGACGCAGATTGGCAAGATCCAAGGCTTGGGGTCCCCAGAGTCTGTCTCACCAGCTAAAACTGCATAGCTTGTCATTAACTGCCCAACCCTTGAGGACTTTGCAAGGTTAACAAGAGGTGAGTAGGAAAAATCACCGCCCTTCAAATCCCAGATAAACTCGTCCACTAATTATCCAAAGAGGAGTTCCTCTTCCCCCCAATCCATCTTGCCCAATTCCTCTCCCCATTCCCCTATCCTCTCCACTGCCCCAGTCTTTTCCCTATTATCCACTTTCCCTCAATCTTTCCTCCATTCCTCTGCCTATTCCATCTATTCCTTCTCCAAATTTCCCCATTCCTCCCCCCATTTCCTCCTCTCGATCACAATTCCTACCAGCTGGTCAGTGTGCGGCGATGTTCCTGTTTACCTGGTGGCTCTGCTTCACCCAGACTTACAAAGGAGTAATACTCGTGTGACTTTATTGACCCTCGAAGGATTGCTGTGCAGTTTAAAGCAATCCTATCCTTTCTCGGTTCCAAAGCGATTTGGTTGGAAAGGTGACATCAGGTGATTGGCAAACGCTGCTTATTTTCCAACATGGCATCTCCCCACTCCCCCTCCTTGTGTTGACGATGATAAGAGTTGACTTTTGTTTAATGACTGTCTTTCCTCTGTGATTGGCACTTGCTTGTGATTTCCGTCATGTGGCAAAATCACTCCAAAAATGCTTTTTAAACCAAGGTGATTAATAAGGAAATTGTGCCCATTAACAATTCCTTATCGTATTTGAAGTGTCTCGAGTTGGGGGGTTAGTAGGGAAACTTGGATACCACAAGAAATTCCCTTCTCTTTTCCATTTGTGTGGTGGGATCTCCAAAATCAATGATAACAGACAGGTGGGAACTTGGTTTACCATCCCATCTGAAAGACAGCACCCCCAGTAATGCAGTATAACCCTGTCCTCTCCTCTCCTCTCCCATCTCCTATTCCCCTCCATCCAGTGGAGTCCTGTAGCTCAGTGGTTAGAGCACTCGCTTTGCAAGCGAGAGACCTGAGTTCAATTCCAGGCAGGGCGAAACCTTGGGCAAGTTTCCTTACTCCACACGCCTAATAATAACAATAATAAATTGGTCATTTTCAATCTATGACTGTTTGTGTGACATTGCTGTGCGCAATTGACTGCCACGTTCGCCCACAAATATACAGTCAATTCACTTTACAGTGTGTTCTGTGAAGCACTTTGGGACGTCCCCCCGACGTGAAAAGCGCTACATCAAATGCAAGGATTATTATTATTATTATTATTATTATTATTATCCCCATTCCTTGATCCATGCTGTCAGAGTTGCAGAATCAATTGCCCTAATTAATACTGGGTTGAATCAAATGAGCACTTTTTTCAACTCTCTAAACTATTTTTTGTCAAAGTAAGAGTAACGCACATTTTTTAAAAAAAATTCACACACACACACAAACAAATATATACACACACACACATCCAATACACTTTCTGAAGATAATGGATTTCTGGCACAAACCTGCGTGAAGTGCTAGAGATTGTTTGAGAGCTGCCTGATTTTAAAGGTTTGTATTGAGGTGTCCGGCCGCTGTAACAATGGGGTGTCTGAGCTCACTGGGCTCCCGGCCTGATGGGGGTGGTTTTGGATTGTGGGGACGTTAGACGTTGCGATGCTGAAAAACAGCAGGTTTGCCTCCTGAGCTATCAATCACAGCGTAACATTAATATTGGCAGCAATCGTGAGCTAGTTGCTTGCTTGGAGCAACAGTCCTCCCAGCAGAAGGGAGCTGGTATAAGGCAAGTTCCTTTACTAGGAGATAAGAATGTGTGTGTATCTTTGTGCATGCATGCGTATGTGTACGTTTACATGTGTGTATATGTTTGTGTTTGTATGTGTATGGTACCTGCATATTTGTGTGTTTGAATGGGTACATATGTGTGTGTACATGCATGTGTATATGTGTGTGTGTGTGTGTATAGCCTGACAGCACTCACTGACTAGACTCACACATGAAGAATGCTCACAAGCCAACGCTCAGCCTGTACTGAACTACCCCTCAGGAGAGTTGGGGCAAAAATGTGAAACTCTTGGGGGAAAAAAAAGTAATTAATTTGTTTTTATTGCCTTCAGGAATGGTGGATGCAGTCCCTTATGGCTTAATACGTTGCCTCAGTAGTTTGCATTCATTCTGTGTCCGAAACAACACGAGTTATTAACAAACACTGTGGTACTTCATTGCAGTTATTGTATTTAATGTTCACTTTCTTAACAGGTAGCTAAATGGTGTTGAAGTGCGGAGCGATAAAATAATTCTTGTTGCTAATCTAGCTTCAGTCCGGCTTCTTTCTCATGCATGCTGACCTGGAAATCTTCCTTTGCCTTAGCTGCAATAATCGTGACTCAGCTTACAACACCATACATACGCATCGTCCCCGCTGCAGGCGACAACCAACTAACAGGTCAGACGTTCAAGTACAGACATGCCCATCTCTTCACCACCTGTTTTTTCACTCGTTTCTGTCTCCTCACTTCATTCACTTCTGGTTGCTCCCTCACGTCCAACTGATTTTGTTCTGACACCCCTCTCTCTTTTCCTTTGCCCCAGTTCCCCTCCTCCTTCCCTGCCCCCTTCTCTTTCCCCTCCCCCTTCCCTCCCAACCCAACACTTAGCTGATGTTTTACGTAGTGTGAAATGCTTGTGACTAACCCATGCACTTAACGCTCCATCGCATGCTTGCATTCACGTTGCATTTTGTATGTGAAGGGTTCTTTCGGCTAACTATGCCTTACCTTAGACAAGAGGTCTAACATTTTTTATGGTCTTAGTGTTAAAAGCTTTACCTTAAAGTTTAGGATTGTGATAGAATTTTAGAAAATTGCTCAACTCAGTTTTGATTTTGGGACTTCCAAATCAAGACCGAATTTTACGAATTTTCCACAATTCTGCATAGCCTTAAATTTCTAGACAATGGTCTTCAAACTAAGACCGTAAAGAGGATTTCTGAGTGACTTTTGCCTGGTGACTGGGTAGAGAGTTACTGTCTTGGTTTGTGTGTTAGATGTTTGGTGTTAACTATCCAATTGGGAAACATTTATCTTTTTAAAGTACAACCCACTCTGGCCTTTTGAGCACTTGGTGAACCTCTTATTCCAAACCAGAGCCAAATAGAGAAGTCTTGGATGTATTAAAACAGGGAAAGAAATCACTTGGGTCTGAGTTAAAGTTGAAACGGAAATCTACATTTATACACCCCGCTTGGTGGGACTGAGGGGTTCTTAGCCAGACTGCTGATCGCAGGCGGCAGATGGGCAACTGGCAATGATTACGTGGCAACTCTCGGGTAATGGGCAGGTGGGTGGGGGTCAAAGGGAAATTCACCATGTGTTTGTGGTGCCAAATGCTAAACCTGGAGAAGCCAGATTTGCAGATCATAGAATCATATCATTGAATTATACAGCACAGAAGGAGACCATTCGGCCTATTATGTCTGTGCCGTCTCTTTGAAAAGAGCTATCCAAATCAATCCCACTCCCCCGCTCTCTCCCCATAGCCTTGCAAACTTGTCCTCCCCAAGATGTGACCACTTCACTTAGGAACAAGGCTTCAGCAAAACAAACCCAGAGACTAATGTTTGCATCTGTTAGTCAGTGTTAGCTGGTTAGTTAGTTATGTCTGTTAGACAATGTTAGTGTCCTTTAATGTAGAGATATTGGGATAAAGATTGTGGCGTTTACAGAGTACCTCGGGTGTTGACTTTTTCCCACTGGGTGGCATGCAGCTGGCTCTGAAAAGGAAGAAACCACTTACCAGGAACTTACCAGGAGCTTCTCAGGAGATAGGGTTGCTAGTCTTGAAACATTGAGGCTTCACCCCTTTAAATTAGATATCAACTCCAAAGGTAACACGCTAAAATGAATACATCAAGATGTTTCTTTTATTAAAACTCTATGGCAATTGCGATTCTCTTTACATCACGTAGACTGAACTACTTTTGTATTTTACTTTTGTACTACATTACAACAGAGACTTAGAGGCTCAACTCCATCCTTGGGGCCTGATGTAAAATGAAGCAGAGTTTTACGCTTTGTGCAACACAAACCAAATGCATTTTAATGCTCTATGGTGTCACTTATGATTTATTGCCCTATTTCTTTGCCTTGGTGTATTGGTAAGATAAATCAGTCACTTTAGCCATGCCTGCCCGTACCCTCCGTTCCTCTGGCTCTGGTCTGCTCCACGTCCCCCGCCCCAACCGCCCTACCATCGGTGGTCGGGCCTTCAGCCATCCCCCAGTGCCTTCGCCTTGCTTCCTCCCTTTCCTCCTTCAAGGCCGGTCTCAAAACCTTTCTCTTTGACCGTGCCTTCAGCTCCCCTCTCGACTCTCTTCCCCCTCCTCGCTCCCTCCCTTCCCCCCTCACCCTGACCATTTCCCCCCTCCTTGCTCCCTCCCTTCCCTCACCCTGACCATTTCCCCCCTCCTCGCTCCCTCCCATCCCTCCCCTCACCCTGACCATTTCCCCCTGCTCGGGTCATGACCCAACTGTGCAGCGCCTTGGGACGTCCTCCTGACGTGAAAGGCGCTTTATAAATGGAATCTTGTTGTTGTTGTTGTTGTTGTTGTTGTCCAAGCTTCAGCAAAGCAACATAGTCCCTTTAAACAGCCTCGGCACCATACCCTGTGTGCGAGTGTTTCACATTACTGTATTGAAATAGACAACCAGTAATTTCACTTTACCTTATCCACATTATAACTTAAACAATAAGACGAATGAGGGTCTATTTTTCAGCAAATTCAATATGTATCACTCACAATGGGTGAATTTAGGCCCGTCTCTCTCCCCCACCTCCTGTGATTTTGGTTGGTTAAATCCATTGCTTCAGGGAAGTTATCATTGAGAACGGTGTCAATTGGGAAAGTGGGGCATTGTCCACCTCAAGCACATTTGATGTGATTGACAATGGAACGCACCTCTGTCTTAACCCCATTAACCCAGGCCTCGATATGAAGAAGTTAAACCATCACATAATGACAAATTTCCTTTTTGCCTTTTGTGTAAATGGTGCTGCTCTTTGTTAGAAACAGTACAATACAACACAGATTTACATTTATATAGCACCTTTCACATCAGAAGGACATCCCAAGGTGAGTGGCGATCCTGGCCTGGCACCTGAGCTGGGAGTGAGAACCAAGGAGGGTGGCAGGGAAAAAAATGACCGAAGACGCGGTCAAAGGGGAAGGTTTTGAGACACACCTTGAAAAAGATAAGGGAGGGAGAGATTTGGAGGGACTCCAGGTAGATTGAGAAGTGATCAAAAGCAGCAGTAGGAGATGAAGCCCAGAATCCGAGGCCATCAGTCACGTTGCGCACAGAGATAAGTTGCTCTTTGCGTGATAGGGCACCTTAACATTAAACGGAAATAAAGTGGATGCGGGAGAGGACGTGGATTGTAATTGTGGATAGTCTGCATCTTGTGGAGGGAGTCGAGCGAGGAAGGCTTTGTAAAGGGGAGCCTGGAGGTGACAAAGGCGTGGATCAGAGGTTACACTGTTCCTTGTGAGAGAGCAGAATATATTGACAAACCCGAGCCCTGACATTCCATCACATTATACTGTGTGCAATGCAAATGGCGGCTGATAAAAGGGAACGGCTGAGCTGGAGACATTCAACACTGGTTATCTCTTTCAAACAGATATTGTGAACGTTCGTGCCAGCACTGCGATCATTCAGGGGGTGCCCAGTTTCCCGAACAAATTGCAAGGAAGTAGCTGTTCATTTTACTAGATGCTGCCAAGATTTTGGGTGGTTAAAGGGAGGAAGGTCTATAATGTGTGTGCAGAGAAAACAACGGAAGGGAAATGCATACCAAATGAGCTTATCTCACTCTTTCAGGTGCCACAGCAACAAGTAGGAAAGTTATTACATTTTAATGGCAATATTACAGGGAGAAGGTCTAGCTAATCAAGAGTGGATAGAGGTGTTTTTCAGGGCAAGTCCCCTTTTCAGTGTTCAGCTTCAGAAATGACAGATGACTCGGCATGGAGCTTTTGAAGGTTACGATATTTTTAAATTGATAACAGCGTTTTATGTGTGTTGGGGGGGGGGTGGGTGGGGGTAGGTGACAAGCTTTATCAGGAGCAGGTTACTTTGTCAACTTCGCCTTGTAGCGGACTGTGGTACTGAATTTCTAAACAACTCAGGAAAGTTCAGTCTCCAAACTGCACACTGAAACACAATTTGCTTACAACTCCCATGCCTGGAATTTCTCACAGCCTTAGCCTTAAGGACCATTTCATTTGTCTTCAAATTTATGATCAGGCTGAATTCCTTAAATCCAGTCTTAAATTGGAAGCCGGTTCTTCTTGACAACTAGGTGAGGCAGTGCAATGGATAGAGCTGCAGCTTACTGAACACAACTTTGTTGGTTCAATCCCACTGCTAAGTCTACTGGTCTCAGCCAGGGCTACACATGGCTTCCCAGGGTGAGGTGACAAGAAAAGCAGCCAGGATTGCTGTTTCCAGCCCCTGTAGAGCACCCTCTATTGCTTGTGCTGTGTCCATGTGTGTATGTGGCAGCCGGGTGGGAAGAGGTCAGGCTCGGTTGCGACACCCTCTAAAACTGGGTGGCCTGCCAACACTCACTGCCCTGGGCTCAGATATGGACAATGACCTCTTAGGGATCTTGAATAGGGATCTGCCTATTATACTGCACCCCAACAAGAGGAGGCCCACCAGCAACAGAGAGAAAACTAGAAAACAATAATTGGACTGACGACATTTACAAACAAATAAGCTTGTGAAACTCGGCTTCCAAAGTAAAACTGGATTTTCCACAATTCTGCGCCAACTTAAATTTTAAGATGGTTCAAGGTAGTCTCGATGCTCAGACTATGAGAATTTTTCAGCCGGTAATTTTGATTTCTGCATTTTCAATGAAAGGTTCAAAGATTTCTCTCTCGCTCTCAGGGAACATCTCCTTAATGTTGCCATTTTTTGACCTCACTGACCTCCAGGGGGTGCCACTCGGAAGCCCAACACTGAAGAGCCTGAGAAGCAGACGGACCACACGGTGAAGATTGCTGGGGTCATCGCTGGCATCCTGCTCTTTGTCATCATCTTCCTCGGTGTTGTCCTGCTCATGAAGAAAAGGTAAGCGAGGGGAGGGGGGAGGAGGGGGAGGGCCAACTGAGCCCAGCAAGGCTGGAGAGTTTACCTCTCCACCAAGAGCAGCCCAGTGCTTTCCTGAGCGAAGGGCATGGGGGAAGGGGAACGAGCACACAAAAATTTTGTTGTTTGCTAAATAACCACAACTAGCATTTATATAGTGCCCCTCACGCAGGCCAGTGGCTCAGAGTGCTTGATAGTGGGGGAGCACAACTCCGAACAGGGGGGAAGTGCCCATAAGCACGGTCAAAGAGGAAGGTCTTCAGGTGTGACCTGATGATGGGGAAGGAGGTGGCAAGGCAGAGGGATCGAGGGAGAGTGTTCTAGAGTTTCAGCGACAATCTGGATCCCAAGAACTGAAAGTTTGAGATTGGTGACACGTGAGACCCGTCCAGCCATCTGTGACACCCGCCACGCAAAGCCTTCCGTGAATCCTCAAAAAATGTGCACATCGGGGTCATCGGAGAGAGGAATTTCAAAAGGCGCTTTGATGCCATTCCTTGAATAAGGAATGAATGTATTTAGGATTCCACAATTTTAACCCTATCATAACTGTGTTCCCATCCTCTCCCATAACACCCCTCTTCCCCCCACCTCACCACCGTCACCGTGTATGATGTACATACTAACTGCAGCTTGGTCCATGTTCCACCACCTCTGCAGATGCGTCACAGTTAAGACCTCCACATTTTATAGGAAACATCTGTGGGATAAAGATTTAACACTGGCCGAGTAGATAGGAAAGGCTGAAAAATGTGAATAAGGAGATGGTTGGTGGGAGCAACAGGGCGGGGGAGGGGGCGGGTGATGAACGGGATAAATACTTCAGGAGTGACTGTGTTGTCTGTGTCCGATTCCACCCCAGATTGCACTCCAAGGTGACTGATGTAGAATATCTGTTCCTAACACTGGGCTACTTTCATGAGAAGGCAAAAGGAATAAGTCTATAAAGTACAGTGGACGTTTCATAAATGTGATTTGAAGATAACACCCTGAGCATCATGTAATATATCCACTGATGCCAACCTCAAGGCATCAGCATTATACACATTGTTCTCTTCAGTGATTTCGTCAATGTCCATCTAGGGTTTTGTGTTCATTCCTAACCTGAGTCCGGCACAATTTAGATTAAATGTGAGTGGTTCTATGCACAAACATATCAGGGCAACTGCATACAATAAGATATTAAAGAACTTCCACCAGCTCCTCTCTGCATCAGGCTCGTCACAGTCCTCTCTGGGTTGCAGCCTGGAAGGTGACACAGAAAAATAGTCCCCAGGCTAAGGTTGTGATACGTCACAGATAGCAAAGAGAAATTGATGAAAGGGAAAGTTTGTGAAGGAGCAACCAGTTCTGTGTATGTATGTGTGTGTGTATGTGTGCTATCTGCCCAAGAGTGGTCTGCAGTCTTTTTGCAAGAGGTGTTTGCACATTTTGTGAAATAATGATTAGCGCTGAGGCACATCTCACTGAAAGCCAGTCCACTGAAAGCCTGAGGGCTAATTTGTGGTATTTCTTAAGGGGGATTTCTTAATTAGTAATTGGGGACTCACAAACAGAGACGCCTTTAGGTAATCGACCTACTCCAATTAGTTCCACTTACGCAACAAAGATGGGAATGGGAATTCTAGACAATTTCCTGTAGAGGAATGCTGCAAATCAGATGTTAATCCCCACTATCTGGGCAACAGGTGGAGGCACTGGCTGAAAAGGCACCGGCACGCTTCAGTGTAGTTGTCCAGCTAAGTCCACTTGGCCTGTTACGGCTTTGTCTGATGGGGTGAGAACATGCCTATAGCTCCATGTCTAATTAGTGAGCCACAGTTGTAAACTGTGAACAGCGTACAAGATTACTGCAGGAACTTGACCTGGTATGATTCTTTGGAGCCAGTCGAAGCTCATAGCTTGACTTCAACTACTCCCCTGCCCCAACTCCCTCCCGTACCTCTTTAATAACGATAATTGTATTGATTTGAATACGGTTAGCAAACCCAGTCTCATCTGGCTCTCAGGTCCAGTGCTCAACCAAATGAGCAACTCAGAACATCTGGTTAAGTGAAATAGATTGGCCTTTGTGAAGATTTACTCATTTATATTATATAAAATAAATAGAACAAAGGCATAGCGGGGGCAGCGTAATCCCAGCTTTTATTTTATTCATGGCGAGACCTCGGGTGAGATTCTGAAAACATGCCTCCTGGGATCACTGGCTGTCACTTTCCACAGTCAGTCTCCGATTGGTGTCGGTGATGCTTTGAACTGATGCCGATACATCTCCGTTGCCGAGGTTCATTTGTGAATTATTGATGGTGAAAACAGGCTGCTTGCAAAAGGGTTATTTGGCATTTCCGTAGCATTAAGAAGCTTAAGGAGTGATGCTGAGATTTGGGTTGTGGTTGGGAATGGGATGTCATTGGATGGCAGCTGAAAAACAACAACAACTTGCATTTATATAATGCCCTTCATGGCGGGCAGCGTCTTGGAACGCTTAACAGTGGTGGAGCCTGACACCGAGCCGGGAGGAGGTGAAGTGGGGGGAGGTGACGGTGGAAAAATGGAATTAATAAAGAATCCACACATTGGGCCAAATAATCTTCTTCTGTGTTAAACTGCTAGGCTTTTTGATGGTGCATTAGCATGGCATGTAATTGGGTTGGAGTTGGGTGATGGATCGACAGAGCTGTCCTTTAGCCTTCCCAGGGGACAGCACTCTGGAGGCCAAAGGGCAGGCTCCCCTCCGTTTGGCTCAATTAAGCAGCGACGCATTAATAAACCATGAAAGAAATGTAAAAACACAGGTAGAAAATAAACGATTCAGTAAGGAACCAAAACATGGTGTTAAAAAAAATTCCTCTGCGGGGCCGTGGATTGCATGATACAGAATCTGAGATAAAAACTGGGAATGCTGATAGCTGACATGGAGGTTAGTGTGCATCTGGAAGAGAAAGGTTTAAGTTTACTAACAGAAATAACGGCTCTGCTGACACTTCAGAATTGGATTCCCACAAAAACCCACATGCTAGCGGTTCTGTTGGTCGTGCATTAAGACAGTCCCAGAATAAACTGTTTGTCCCATTTTCCGTGCTTCCACCATTGCCTTTCACAAATTGCCTTTCACGGGAGCAGTGCAGGCCTCTCTTTTATCATCACCCCTTCCATTCCAACCAGCCTTTGATCCATCAGTTCCACCACTCACAACATAACGTTAGCGACCTGAAATTCTTGCTATTCTTAACCTACGTACCATTGTCTCGACATTTAAACATCAGATTGCACAGAAATGCAATCAATTCTTAAATGTTCTCTCTGAGGACTGTGGAAAGCCCGGCTCCCAAATTAAGATTTACATATTTTCCACAATTCTGGATGATATTAAATATTAAGGCAGTTGTCATTATCCCAAAGACCATGGGGGATTTTCGAGCCTCAGATACAGGTGTCCATCCTTCCCACCAACCTCTTTTCAGAAGGGACCATTTCCTCATTTATTCTTCCCTTTCTCCCCAGTACATATTGGGGTAAAAATTCCATTCATCATTGCCCTGTGGGACTATAATGGGGGCATCGGGGGGATCCCATTAGTGGCAGGCATCGCCAAAGGTACTGTGCATAACCCTCAATGGAATTTCTACGCACTGTGATCTTTCCCTGCTTCCCGCAACGACACTCCCACGATTCTCGTACACCTGGTCCATCTCCCTGCGATTCATCATTTCCACTTCCTTCCATTCTGAGCTCCTGCTTCACTGCTGATCCAGCCAATGGCAATGACAACTCCAGAAGCAGCGAAGCATCCTTTTTGGGGGCATCTTTTGCCATTTGCTGGCCCGACTAAAGTGTTTTTAATGATCGTCAGATGGGACCGACCCAACACTCTGATGGATGGTTCCCAAACGCAAGAGGAAAGTGGTCCTAAAATCAGGGGTGATCTGGTTAGAAGTGAAATCAGAAAACATTTCCTCACACGGAGGATTGTGGGAATGGCCTTATTGTAGATGTAGAATTGATTAGCGTTTGTAAAAGTTACACTGGGGAATTAAGAGTTTTACAGGATTTGGAGAAATAGCAAGGAAAATGGGATTGAAAGATTTGCTAAGTTCTAAGAAAATGACCCAAAAAGATCCAGTGGGGCTGAATAGCCTCCTTCTGTTCCTATAAACATCAACTCTAACATCTTCACACATAAGCTCCATGCTCCCTCTCCATCCGCAGGTTATTTTTCCTCTCCCCTTTCTGTGTGTGTAAAACAAACCTAAACTGTGCCATTGATTCCTGACTTTCTTATTGCTGTTTACCAGTGCTTCTTTTCTACGGCAAGCTTGTGATTACGTCTCACAATCTCCTGAGGGCCCATCAGATGCCTCCTTGTGTGTGGAATCATTTTCCGAATTCTTTACCAACTTTGGGGGCTTGGCTGGCCTTCTCTCTCCTACGTCAGGGCTCTCTTCCCCATTTCCTACCAATTGTTGTTACAATAATGCCAGAATAATCACCTGTGAGGATTTCCCCATCAATCATTCCCCCCCCACCCCCCGCTTTGTCCTCACAGCTTTGTGTATTTGCTCTGACTTTAGCAATCACAGTCTCTCCATTTGCTTTTCTGGAGTGGGGAAGAGGGTGATTGAGGTGGGGGTGGGGTGAGGGGTGTGGGCACTGGGCGAAGGGAAAAAATTTCAATTTTCTTACCTTTTTTGATACATTAATATTTTGCTTTTCTTTCCTCCCATTTCCATCCTTTCCCACCACCGCCCAAACCCTCCAATCATCCTACCTGACAGAAGAAGCTATCAGTCCTACACTTATTATCTGTAAGTAGCTGCTTTGAGAATGAACCGCTCCATGCTTTTTCCATGCTTTTTCCATGCTCAAACGTTTGTCTTATTTGTTTGTTCTATTATGTGTGTGTCTGTGTTTTATCCCAGATGTGGCGTTATTAGCATTAAAGTAACTGAAAATGCAATGGTTAATAATAATATAATATATAATGATAATCCTTGCATTTGATATAGCGCCTTTTCGCATCTTCGAGACGTCTCAAAGCGCTTCATGGAATATACTGTAAAGTGAATTGACTGTATATTTTGTGGGCGAAACATGGCAGCTAATTGCGCACAGCAGTGTCCCACAAAGTCATGGATTGAAGTGACCAATTTATTATTATTTTTATTGAAGGAATTATTATCCCCAGAAAAGCAATCCGACTAACAACCAGGTTCCTACTTACTGTTAGGTAAACAGAGGCATGTGGAGTAAGGAAACTTGCCCAACATTTCGCCCTGCCCGGGATCAAATGCAAGTCTCTTGCTTGCGAGGCGAGTGCTCTAACCACTGAGCTACAGGTTAAGCCAGTAACTTAACTGGCAATGGTTAACCTGAATATATTCTACAGTGTTGCATTAGTCAAAGATGTTGCCAAAACAGTGTGGTTTTAAAGAGAAGCAAATCTCTTAGCGACAGGAAGGGCAGATCTGAAATAACATACATGCAGCAAAGAAAGAACTGCAGAATGTAAGCAATGTTGAAAACAGTCTAATTTTAATCACTGAAAACCAGGAAATTGCTTCTGTTTTGAGTGAGTCGCAGCTGTAAGGGATGACAGCCAAATGTAGCAAGAAAAGAGCCGCTGAACAAAAAGCCAAAGTCCTGTAGTACGGCAGGTTGTAGAGCCTTATTTTCACTCTGTTGGGCAACTCCAGTAGTGCACTTGCATAAAATCTGACTGTTCACCTCTGGGAGCCGAATCCTGCTCAGATTGGTGAGAAGAATGCTTACTCTCTGTGTTGGTTGTTAAGGAACCCGCATGAGATGCTTGAGCCATCTCAGTCCATTTCCTAGTAAGTGCAGGTCTACATGATAAAACATTCTTACCTAGAAACATTTGCAAGGCCATGGGGTAAGAACGGGGAGGCGGGATGAGTTGGATAGCTCTTTCAAAGAGTCGGCACAGGCACAACAGGCTGATTGGCCTCCTTCTGTGCTGTGCTATGATTCTGTGAGTAGCCACATGGATTGTTGCAGACAGTGGAACTGCCCCTTTGGGGCAGGAGTGGGTGTTGTTTGGGGATTAAAGTGTATTATTGGAGCAGAATAAGAGACAGCTTTACTTTGCAGGTGACTGTAACCACACTTGTCATGGGAGAACGTGATACGACCACAAATTGGGAATCAGCCCCCCTCCCTCCCCCGAACCTCCTTTCATAGCCAGTGGGATCTAATGCGTGCTCAATGATGAAAGTAGCAATAAGGGATGATAAATTATCCTGAAAAGATCTGCTGTTCTTTAGAGATTGAAGCATGAACGAGCCCAGCGAGGGGCATCGTCCCACAGGGTGGCGAGATGTTCTCTTCCCAGGCCTGACACCTGTCACTTTGATGAGTACAAAGAAAATGTTCCTTATGAAAAAAAATCCAGATAAAATTGTGATGGATAAAGTGCTGTGTAATTTGCAGGACATGGTTCAAAATAGACTTTAGAGAGGCTTAGCCTAGAACTCTTAGCTTTTTATGTCCTTAAGAACTTGGTTTGATAAAGCTGACGGTATCATTAAACTAAATGTTGTGTTATCTGCTCCGTACATCCTAGTCTAACATTGTGTAATCCTGTTTTCAAATTGTTCCTCGATCCACTTTCCTCCTCCCCCAGCTTTACAAAATGCGTTGCTTGTAGCTTGCAAAGGAGTTGTCTATTTTTCATGCAGAAATTGGCACAGAGATGTTGGAACTGACAGCAGCCAAATATCTGAAAGAGAAAGCTGGGTTAGTGTTTTGGGTGTGACTCACTTTCAGTCTTCTTTTTCCCCTCTACCTCCCTCCCCTCGCAACACCCATAGATTCTCTTCAATCCTCACTCTCTATTCCACCAAACCCATTTGCCAAAAAAAAATTCCGTCAGTCGGGTGTCTGACAGATGTGGAAACCAATCACCATGCTGAAGAGTATCCAAACCAAACTGAGAGTTCCATGCATCCATCTAAACATGGAAATAAATGTGCTTGATTGTTTTAAATGCCATTGGGACTATCACCAATAATCTACCGCCAGTTAGTTACCCATTGAGTCTACCATGTGCCTATCGATAAACATAGAAATCACTTTGAGACTTGTTTCTACTGGGATCAGCCACATCATGAACTCCAGGGTGGCTTTGCTTGAGGTCTGGACAGATGTATTCATGAAATCAACTGAAAGAGTTAAAGTAGCAAACAAAGGTCTCTTAAAGCTGATATTAAGCCCTTGATCCCTTTCAATTTGATGGTAAAAAAGTACTGCGGCATTCCCTCTACCCATTATTAACTCCATCTTGGAGTCCTGTAGCTCAGTGGTTAGAGCACTCGCTTTGCAAGTGAGAGTCCTGAGTTCAATTCCAGGCAGAGGGCGAAACCTTGGGCAAGTTTCCTTACTCCACACACCTAATAATAATCCCTCCAAAAAACTAACAAAACAATAATAAATTGGTCATTTTCAATCTACGACTGTTTGTGGGACATTGCTGTGCGCAATTGGCTGCCACGTTCGCCCACAAATATACAGTCAATTCACTTTACAGTGTGTTCTGTGAAGCGCTTTGGGACGTCCTCCCGACATGAAAAGCGCTGTATCAAATGCAAGGATTGTTATTATTATAATCTTGATCTGAGCTGTGATTTTGATCCAGGCCATTACCTCCCTCAAACAGGTCTCTATTGAATGTGGACGGTTATAATGAAAACCCTAATATCCAATTGTTTAGCATGTGTTCCATCACCGTGTGCTGTGTGCCTGCACATAATTTCAGTTGTAATAGTGAGGAGCATTACCTGTTCTGTAGATACAGCATGTGTAATGCACAAGAGCTTCTGTGTGGATGCTCTGTATGTATGATACAGATCCCCTCAGATATTCCTTGCGCTCATTTTCAAATCTGAAGTGGTGTAAAACACGAAATGATTAACTATGAATTCAGGCCCTCGCCTCTGGTCCCTATCAGTTGCCCTTCCCCCTGTTATCCGTTCAGTGCTTTGGAGTAAGGCAGCAAGGTAATTTATGGGGTTGTGAAAGTGAAGTTATAATTGGATTGAGCTGTTGGTCAGGATGATCTAATGAAGTATTGAACCAATGCCTTTGGTCTTTCAGAGTTAAGACTGTGAAATGACGGAATGATTTTTTTTGTAAACAGCAACAGCTTGGATTAATCTTACCTCCAGGATATATTAAATGGAAAAACCATTGCTGGTACTCTTAAGAGGAACATAAGAACACGGGAACAGGAGGAGGGCGTTCAGCACTTCAAGCCCGTTCTGCCATTTAATTAGATCATGGCTGATCTGTACCTGAACTAATCCTTTCAATTCCAATTTCCTGCTTTCTCCCCATATCCCTTAATACCCTGACCTACCAAAAATATATCAACCTCACTCTTGAAGGTATGGCTGAATCCAGCATCCACAACCTTTTGGGGGAGAGAATTCCAGATCTCTATCACCCTTTGAGTGAAAAAATGCTTCCTGATTTCACTCTTAAATGGCCTGGTTCTACTTTTAAGACTATGCCCTCTTGTTTTGGAGTGTCCCACCAGAGGAAATAGCTTCTCGGTATCTACCCTATCAAATCCCTTTATCATTTTAAACACCTCAATCAAATCACCCCTCAACCTTCTAAACTCAAGGGAATATAATCCAAGTTTACACAGCCTTTCCTCGTAACTTAACCCTTTAAGGCCTGGTAACATTCTGGTGAACCTGCGCTGCACCCCCTCTCAGGGCCAATATATCTTTCCTGAGGTGTGGTGCCCGAAACTGAACGCAGTCTCCAGATGGGGTCTGACTAATGCTCTATAAAGCTGAAGCATCATTTCTTCCCACTTTGTATTCCAGACCCCTCGAGATAAAGGCCCACATTCCATTCACCTTTTTGATTACTTTTTGCACCTGAGAACTAGTTTTTAGTGCTTTGTGGATATGGACACCCAAATCTCTTTGCTCCTCCACAGTTCTTAATTTCTCCCCATTAAGAAAATATTCTGCTTTATCTTTTTCAGTCCATTATGGATCACCTTACACTTCCCTACACTGAACTCCATCTGCCTACTCCCATCTACACAACTTACTGAGCCTCCGAGCTTAGTGTTGTCTGCAAACTTGGATATAAAACTTGCTGTTCCTTCACCCAAGTCATTTATATATATGGCGAATAGCTGGGGTCCCAGTACAGACCCTTGGAGGACACCACTTGTCAAGTACCACCAATCAGAGAACGTTCCCTTTATCGCTACTCTCTGCTTTCTGCCTCCCAACCAATTACCAAGCCAATTCACAAGGCTACCTCCGACTCCATGCGCTTCCATTTTCGCTAATAATCTTTTGTGTCGAACTTTTATCAAATATCCTCTGAAAGTCCACATAAACGACTTCCATAGACACTCTCTTATCCACCATTTTAGTGACCTCCTCAAAAATTTCAACTGGATTAGTCAGACACAACCTACCCTTCACAAACCTATGCTGACTCTCTTTGACGAGCTCATACCTGTCCATGTATTCAGTCACTCTGTCCCTGATGATGGATTTTTCCTATAACTCATGTTAAGCTGACAGGTCTGTAGTTTCCTGGGTTCTCCCTCACTCCCTTCTTAAATAAAGAGATGACATTCGCCATTTTCCAATCTAAGGGCAAGTTTCCTTACTCCACACAGAGCCTAATAATAATCCCTCCAAAACCAAAAACAATAATAAATTGGTCATTTTCAATCTACGACTGTTTGTGGGACATTGCTGTGCGCAATTGGCTGCCGCGTTCGCCCACAAATATATACAGTCAATTCACTTTACAG